TGATGGAGTCTCGCTCTGTCACCCAGGCTGGAGTGCAGTGGTGTGATCTCAGCTCACTGCTGCAACCTCCGCCTCCCAGGTTCAAGCAATTATCCTGCCTCAGCCTCCTAAGTAGCTGGGACCACAGGTGTGCACCACCATGCCCAGCTAATTTTTTTGTAGTTTTAGCAGAGATGGGGTTTCACCTTGTTAGCCAGGATGGTCTCGAACTCCTGACCTCGTGATCTGCCTACCTTGGCCTCCCAAAGTGCTGGGATTACAGGCATGAGTCACTGCGCCCAGCCAATTTTAAAATTTTTTTGTAGTGACGGGGTATTAGTAGGTTGCCTAGGGTGGTCAAACCTTAAGTGATCCTCCTGCCTTGGCCTCCCAAAGTGCTGGGATTACAGCTGTGAGGTACCATGCTTGGCCAGGATTTGATTTATTTTAGTATTAGAGATGGTCTTGCTGGGTTGCCCAGGCTGCAGCGCAGTGACATGATTATAGCTAACTTCAGCCTTGAACTCCTGAGATCAGGTGATCCTCCAGCCTTGGCCTCACAAAGTGCTGGGAGTACAGGCATGCACAACCACTCCCAAAATTCAGGATTTTTTTTTTTTTTTTTTTTAAGACAGAGTCTTACTCTATTGCTCAGGCTGGAGTTCCATGGTGCAATCTTGGCTCACTGCAACCTCCACCTCCTGCCTCAGCCTCTCAAGTATCTGGAACTACAGGCGCGTTCTACCACGCCCAGCTAATTTTAGTATGTTCAGTAGAGACAGGGTTTCACCATGTTGGCCAGGCTGGTCTTGAACTCCTGAGCTCGGATGATCCGCCCGCCTTGGCCTCCCAAAGTGCTGGGATTACAGGCATGAGCCTCCCAAAGTGCTGGGATTACAGGCATGAGCCACTGCACCCAGCTCAAATTTCAGGATGTTTAGGCTCAGACCATAGCAGGACTCCCAGCAGGTTCCAACTGCCCTTGCAGGGAGCCCTAGAATGCTGAGACTCCAGCAGGAAATGAGGGCTCTTAAACGTCAGAACTAGTCTTGACCCCAGTTGGGTGAAGACTAAGAGGGCACAGACATAGGATTGGTGGGCACGGGGCAGGAGTGACCCAGAGTGCATTGAGGGTGGGAGCATGTGGGACCTGCCTCTCTCCAGAGGTCCCGGATGGGTTTGGTGGCTGTAGCTTCAAGACTAACAGGACCTGCTGGACCATTTGGGATACAGTTTCTGGAAGGGAAACTGGGACAAATTCTTTCTTTTCTTTTCTTTCTTTCTTTTCTGAGATGGAGTCTTGCTCTGTCGCCCAGGCCGGAATGCAGTGGCACAATCTCGGCTCACTGCAACCTCCGCCTCCCGGGTTCAAGCGATTCTCCTGCCTCAGCCTTCTGAGTAGCTGGGATCACAGGCGCCCACCGCCACGCCTGGCTAATTTTTTTTTTGTGTGTGAGATGGAATCTCACTCTGTCATCTAGGCTGGAGTGCAATGGCATAATCTTGGCTTACTGCAGCCTTCACTCCTGAGTTCAAGCAATTCTCCTGCCTCAGCCTCCTGAGTAGCTGGGATTACAGGTGCCCACCACCACACTCGGATAATTTTTGTATTGTTAGTAGAGACGGGGTTTCATCATGTTGGCCAGGCTGGTCTCGAACTCCTGACCTCATGATCCACCTGCCTTGGCTTCCCAAAGTGCCGGGATTATAGGCATGAGCCACTGTGCCTCGCCATGACAATTTCTTTTTTTTTTTTCGAGATGGAGTCTGGCTCTGTTGCCCAGGCTGGAGTGCAATGGCGTGATCTTGGCTCATGGCAACCTCTGCCTCCCGGGTTGAAGCGATTCTCCTGCTTCAGCCTCCCCAGTAGCTGGGATTACAGGCAGGCACCACCACACCCAGCTAATTTTTTTTTTTTTTTTTTAATTTTTAGTAGAAACAGGGTTTTGTCATGTTATCCAAGCTGGTCTTGAACTCCTGATCTCAAGTGATCCATCTGCCTTCACCTCCCAAAGCACTGGGATTACAGGTGTGAGCCACTGCCCCCAGCTAATTTTTTTTTTTTTTTTTTAATTTTTAGTAGAAACAGGGTTTTGTCATGTTATCCAAGCTGGTCTTGAACTCCTGATCTCAAGTGATCCATCTGCCTTCACCTCCCAAAGCACTGGGATTACAGGTGTGAGCCACTGCACCCGGCCCAAACTGGGACAAATTCAAGCTTTGTGGCCACATATGAATACAAGGCATGGCTCTGTGCAGTGTTGGGTCAGTGAACCTCTTTGAACCTCCATCGTTCCACCTGTAAGATGGGGTCCTTCTACCTCACAGGGTTGTGAAAACACTGTTCTTTTTGGGCACGTAGTAAGTTAACTCATGCTTTCACCTGGCAAACATTTATTGCCTTAGTGATGACAGAATGAGCAAAGTCATGCTTGTCAATGACCCCTCCCCCCAACTGTGCCTGGCACTTTGCCAACAGCACAGGACTCAAGACTCATTTCTTAATCACATGGCAGTTGGGAGGTAGATTCTGCTGTTAGTCCCGTTTGACACACGCAGAAGTGGAGAATGGGCAGCGGGTGTGATGTTGGGGGAAGACCAGGGCCCAGGGGTGGGGGCTGCAGCAGTGACTCACAGACCCAGGGCCTGGGCAGGACTGGAGGCCACAGGACTGGACTTTTAGTTCATTGCAGCCCAGGTAAACGAGGCTTTCATTGGCAGGGCCTGGCTCCCCACCAGGCAGGCAGGTAGACAGGCGGGCAAAAGAAAAGGCAGAATCCCAGGACCCAGCTCAGATCTTCTCCACGTAGTTTCCTGGGAAAAGGCCCTCCTGGCCGTGAAGCCGGCCCTTCCACCAGCCCGAGGAATCTGTGGGAGAGAGGAAAGCTTGAGGTGCCCCTAGCTGGCCCTGGAGAAAGCTCTCATGCCTGCTCCGTCTGTCTTGTTCATGAGGTCTCCCTAATGTTATCCAGGCTGGTCTTGAACTCCTGGGCTTAAGTCATCCTCCTCCCTCAGCCTCCCAAAATGCTGGGAGCCACTGCATCCGGCCATTTCCACTCTTAGAATTTTTTTTTTTGGTAAATCTTTTGTAGAGATGGGGTCTTGCTAGGTTGCCCAGGCTTGTCTCAAACTCCTGACCTCAAGTGATCCTTCTGCCTCGGCCACCCAAAGTGCTGGGATTACAGGCATGAGCCACCTCACCCGTCTGTTATCTCTGTTCTCCCGTGGGGAGGGTGTACAGTGGTGGGGTCTGCCTGGTGATGTCAGGGTTCTTACCGCTCCCCTGACCCCAGCTTCTGCCCTGGTACACACACCTTCCATGAGGATCTCGATGACCTCGTTCACATTGAAGCTCAGCTCGTCCACATCTTGGCCCACATACTGGTATAGCGCCCGGCACCTGGGGCCATGTGTCCGAGGCTGGGGCTTGGGTCGGCCCACACCAGGCACTGGCCGTTGCCCCACACTGCGCTTCCTCTGCATGCTGTGAGCACAGGGGGTTTGAGTCACAGCCCCAGATACTCCCCTACCCCCTGCCCACTTCCTGGGGCTGCCCTCCCACCCCACCTACCCGGCCATGCCCTGGTCAGGCACGTTGAGGAATTCTGTGTTGTGCTCTGAGGGCAGCTGTGCCCGGGGTCGTCTGCTGGCTCCCAGGGATGTGGACGGAGGGCCCCGGGGAGGCCGGTGGGAGCTCCCTCCAGACATGATCTCCAGAGGCAGGGGGCCCCCTCTGGCAGAGGGGGGCACCCCATTGCGATCCATGCCTGTGGCAGGAGCAAGGATGAAGGCATGTACTAGGGTGATGCTAGGAGGATTTGAGGAGGACTTGGCTCCAAGTTCCCAGTCTGAGGGAGGAGATTGCCATGCTCTCAACCCAGTGTGGTAAGGATTGGGCCAGACAGAGGGGCTCTGGGGCTAGGAGGGCCTAGACAGAGGCTTTTTTTTTTTGATGGAGTCTCGCTCTGTCACCCAGGCTGGAGTGCAGTGGCGCAATCTCGGCTCACTGCAAGCTCCGCCTCCCGGGTTTGTGCCATTCTCCTGCCTCAGCCTCCCGAATAGCTGGGACTACAGGTGCCTGCCACCACGCCCAGCTAATTTTTTTGTATTTTTAGTAGAGATGGGGTTTCACCGTGTTTGCCAGGATGGTCTTGATCTCCTGAACTCATGATCGGCCCACCTCGGCCTCCCAAAGTGCTGGGATTACAGGTGTGAGCCACCGCACCTGGCCAACAGACGCTTTTTTAAGAATTTTAAAATTATTTTTTACTTTTATTTGTTTATTTTGAGACATGGTCTCACTCTTGCCCAGGCTGGAGTGCAGTGGTACAATCATAGCTCACTGCAACTCTGATGTCCTGGGCTCAATCAATCCTCCTTCCTTAGCCTCCCCTTAGGGGCAGCTGGGACTGCAGGTATGCTCCACTATGCCCAGTTGATTTTTATAATTTTTAAAGTAGAGATGGGGTCTCACTATGTTGACCAGGCTGGTCTCAAACTCCTGGCCTCAGGCAATCCTCCCACTTCAGCCTCCCAACATGCTGGTTTTATAGGCATGCGCCACTGCACTTGGCCTTACTTATTTTTTATTTGTTTAGAGACAGGTTTTGTTCTGTGGCCCAGGATGGAGTGCAGTGGTGAGATCACTGCAGCCTCCAACTCCAAGGCTCACATGCTATCCTCCCCTCTCAGCCTCCTAAATAGCTGGGACTACAGGCACACACCACCTTGCCCAGCTAATTTAAAAAGAATTTTTAGGTCAGGCACGGTGGCTCAAGTCTGTGATCCTAGCACTTTGGGAGGTCAAGGTGGGCAGATCATGAGGTCAGGAGTTCATGACAAGTCTGGCCAACATAGTGAAACTCCATCTCTACTAAAAATACAAAAATTAGCCAGGCATGGTGGTGCACGCCTGTAGTCCCAGCTACTCGGGAGGCTGAGGAGGAGAACTGCTTCAACCCGGGAGGTGGAGGTTACAGTGAGCCGAGATCACGCCACTGCACTCCAGCCTGGGCAACAGAGCGAGACTCAGTCTCAAAAGAGAAAAGAAAAGGCCAGGTGCGGTGGCTCACGCCTGTAATCCCAGCACTTTGGGAGGCCTAGGTGGGTGGATCACGAGGTCAGGAGTTCAAGACCAGCCTGGCCAACATGGTGAAACCCTGTCCCTACTAAAGATAAAAAAAAAATTAGTTGGGCATGGTGATGCATGCCTGTAATCCCAGCTACTCGGGAGGCTGAGGCAGGAGAATCTCTTGAACCCGGAAGGCAGAGGTTGCAGTGCGCTGAGACTGCACCATTGCACTCCAGCCTGGGTGACAGTGCTAGACTCTGTCTCAAAAAAAAAAAAAAATTGTAATTTGACCTTGTTGGCAGAGGGTAACCCAGAATTTGGGATTGGAGGGGGCATAGATAGAGACATACCGTTTTCTGCAGTACCAACTTGAATTGTTGTAGTGAACTTTTCATGGCTGAATTTAGA